AACCATGGTTTAGGTAATTGTACAAGTGCACATTTTCCTTTGCAAACTCAGGGACCTGTTTTTTCTGTAGTTTGTAGCATTGAATTCCCTTTCTTAATAAATCAGCTTCTTGTAAAAAAAATAACTGAATCTTATAAGTCAAAAATTGAATAGGTTTCTGTTGAAGTTGATGTAAGTCTTTAATTTCAACAGAATTGATTTCAGAGGGAGTTGGATTGGGCCGTTAAGGAATTATTATTGCTGTAATTGTTTCCCTTTTAAAAATACAGTTTCAATGTGCATGTAAATAGGAAAACTTTTAATTTTATGAATAAATTTCTGTGTACATAGAAGATAGCCACCTTTGCATAATATTTGTGCCATTTAGTTAAATGCAAGCAAATGCATGTCTGCAAACTTATATCTGACTTTAAAAGTCTGTCCTTAAATCTAGAAATTAATTATTTACATTCTAGAATTATGTAAAGCTGGGTTGCCAACAGCAAGGATTACACCCAGTACCTCTGGATTAAAACCCATGAGACTGACATAAAAGAGCTATAGCAGGTTCATCAATCTTATTATTTGCACTGGCATAGCTACTAGTGCCCCTGATGATTGGGCATAAAATTACTGTGATCCCAGTTGCATTTATATTATCATCTGTCAGGGGCCTAGAAGCCCAGACATAGGCCAGGATCCCATTCTGCTATGTTTTAAACAAAATTAAAAGACAAATTCCTGCCCCAAACTGCTTACAAAATAGGACAAGAGGTAAGAGACTGATTCTGGAAGACAGGGGAACTAAAAAGCTAGGGACAGACATTAAACATAAATGAACAGATGTTCAGTGCACATAAACCAGTTTGAAAATGGCTGAAACTGGTCTGAGATAAACATGGTTGAATATAGTATGAGACTTAACTGATTTGGCTCAAATCAGTTTATGCAGTGTTTGTCCCAGACCCCTTGCTGGTTTAAGATAAATCAGACTCCTCCAGCATCTCGGCATACTCTCTGGGCTGGGCAGGGCTCTCTGCTCCACAACAGGGCTGGCCCCAACCCTCTGCTCCCTTGCTGCATCTCCCCTCCTCCCCCTCCCCACTCCCTCCTAAGCAGGAATTCCCCCCTCCCCTCTGCCTTGATGAGGAGATGTCTGTGTATTATCTAGCAGACCACATGATGGCTACAGTCTGTGCTGAATCAACAGGTATCTAGCACACCCTGGCTTCTAGCCTGAGCCACTGCAGGCATGTGCCTGCATTTCTGGGATGTCTGTCTGGTTACAAAACTGATTTAGCCTAGCCAGCCTGCAAAGATTGAATCAATTCAGGCTCAGGCTTTTTGAATGTCTGTCCCTAGCCAAAGAAACAATGATACAATACCAGTCAGCATGACAGGCAAGGGTCTCAGCCAACCATCATAAAATTTTGTTTTAGGTATCACAAAAGAATTTCCTAACGCTGCCCTAGAATACGTTTTAAGAGTTAGGGTCTTTAAAGTGCCATCCTAAGTAATGTGGATTACTTCCTTGGCTGGGGATAGTGCATAAGTGTGCTACACATTCAACCAAAAATGAACGGACCAATTTTTTTTTTAACCTTGTGTCAAGATCTAATCTTAACATTCAGTTGACAGCAAAGAGATGCTGAATCAGACAGAACTACAATTTAGACTAAAGGATGAGTACAATTAGAATAAATAGCACTATTTTCAAAGTGAATTTGCTGCAAGTTGCAAAGAAACACTAGTAACATAAACATCTGAACTTCATTATCATGATTCAAGAGATAAGGTAGTTCACTTTTTACAAAAAGGAGTGTGATGCTTTCCTTAATGATATTTTTAGTTGTGTAACAGCTTCTTTCACTCTTTACAACAGCATGAAGGACATTTGTATAGCAGAATGAAAACAGAAGAGGAGATAATAAAATACAAATAAAAACAAATGAAATGGGTCCAACTTAAATGTGGAAAACAAAGGGACTGGAAAAGAAGGTGATGCTTATGCCAATCAAAGTAATAATTTTGATAACATCTTTAAAAAGATGTAATTTAGTAGGGAAAAATTAAATGAGATGAACAGTGTGGAGTGAAAGGTGAAAACACAGGCACCATGAGCAAGCACCTGCCAATTTCAGATGCAATAGTGGGAACCCTTTAACAGCACATGACACATGAACATCAGAATATAAAATTCAGAAATGACTGCAATAGGCTTTAAAAATCATAACACCAGGTTAGAGTCAGAATGCAAAGAATGCATACTGAGCACAGAATAGTCATACCATCCCAAGCCATGAGCGACCCTGATGCTGAACTCTGATGGAGTAGCTGCACTGGCAGCTCTGCAAAGAGAGGGACAATAACCTAGCTCCCTGGGCACAAGGACACATGCACTGTTACAAGGTCATCCAAGGGAAAACTAAGTCATATAAAGCCATTATATACATATGTATAACACACACACAAGCACGACAGTTTTTTCAGTCACAAATTTACTCATTGTCAGATGAATACAGTCATTCATCTGTATATTTACATGATTAAATGCTCCTCCATAAACAAGTCGTGCAAACAAAACATAGTCTATGCAAAAGTTTACAGAGAAGTAGATACAGAGGGCTACAAATATGGTGGAATAACTAGCAAAGTGGAACATGCAAGCCATATTCCATACCACATACCCATTCCTGCTATGCATTGAGCATTATTTCCAAACTTAACACTGCCTGAATGAAATAATATCAATCTAACCCTCACGGTGACATGCATCCACCGTAACTGAAGGAAGCCTAAAGAGGTTCTGCCACCATTCCTGAAAAGTGTGGAGGTAGGGTAGATTTTAACTCTTGGGTACACTAATCATGCTGAAATTTCAAATGTAGATTTCTTGGAAGAAATTGTACCATTCTTGACCTGATCAAATGTCCATTAATCTGGTGGAAATGCATTCACTGACTTCAGAAAGAATTGGATCAGTCCAGAAAATTGGTTCCTTTTTGGTATGTTAACAAGGTGAATTCTATTTGAAATTATATTTGTTCTGGACCATTACACATTACTATCACTTCAAAAGCATAAGTGGCACAGTTACTTAAGCTTCACAAATCTCAGGGAAAATCTGGCATGTGCTTCTAGACTGAATGCATCACTCTTCCAGCAAAAGTCAGGTCTGTGAATCATTACAAGGTTGAGAGACCCCAACTGCGCTCAGTTATTCACCTTAGCTTCTAACTCCTTACAGAGCAAGAGAGAACAGCACAGCTACAGTATTTATCAATTATCAGCAGCAACCAGCACCAAAACCTAGAGACATATATTCTTTTTTAATTAAAACAAATAATTTACTAGCACTTTTCAGAGGGTTTTGTTTTAGCATGAGAAAAGGGAAAACTGTAGAAAAAAGTGGGATAGCAAAATTAAATGTTTTTCAGGTCAGCTTAATGCTTCATCTTTACTTTCTCTTCAGCTTTTATATGACTTGACAGGCATTTATGACATATGCTGTTCATTTCCAAAATCAACACATAGATAGCCATCAATATCATTGATAAAAATATTAATAACCTGTACTCCCTCTCAAAATACCTTAAGGTTATTCAGTAATGATTTTACCAGCCTCTGATAAGACTGCATTCAATATTCAGCAGACCCCCATACAAAGATTTAAGTATTACCAGACAGCCCACAGACTAGAAAAGTTTTAATCTTGTCAAGTTATAATCCCTACCCAGCATGGTAGCGTCTAAGCATTCCATATACACTACCATTCAATCAGATATTTGTTATTTCTTGATAAACTTCCCACAGTAATGAATTTCCTGCATCCACTAAAGTCCTCTTTTTGCATATTTTAATATCAGAAAGATAATACACTCAATAGCTTTGACTAATAAAGCCCCAATACTGATCTAGCCCTCACTTTACAGTCCTACAAATGAACTTCCAAATGTCTTAGTCCAGGAGTAGCTGGAAAAAGCATTTTTTCATGCAAGTCTCCATCTCACCAGCAACAGGTTGCCAGCGGCCAGTCTCCATCTTAAATAGACCATGAAGGAGACAAGTCACTCTAACTGCTGCTAATTAAAAACAACTCCCCAGTTAGTGTACAGTGGCAAAGCTCTTTCTGGGGCGCACATTTCAACAAAAGACAAAAAAGCAAATAAAACTTAAACCTTAGCCAAAGAAAAGTTGATGTTTCTTCATTAATATGAGATAGCTTTATTTGTTTCACCAGCTAAGAATCTACTCCAAGCTGTTTATGCCCTAGGAACATATATAGTAGATTTCTATACTTGTTCTGAGTTAAGAATTTTTAATTAAACAGTCTTAAAAGATACTCTAACATTTTAATAGAATTTCCCCATATATAAAGGTCAAGAATAATATGCCAAACAGTTTGGCAGTTTTATCACATAACAAAGGTATTTAATGTTATCTATTGAGATTTAATCCAATACATACCATGCAGAATGGCTCCCAGTTCATTTTTGAGTGGGTAATATAATGTGTTTGTTTTACCTTATAATATATTAAAGGGTTCAGGGTAAGATTACCCTACACATAACATTGTCTTTCTCCCATACCACAGTAGAGATCAGCAGACACTCTCACTGCAGATCATTTTCAGAGAGGGAATTGCTGCCAGAATGTCCTCTATAAAACAGCCTGAGTTTTGCAACACCCTCCATGTTGGCATTAAGCTCCTGCGTTTTTTATGATTTTTCATGCTTGATGTGAAGCTCAGGCTTTTTTCTCAGGCTATTGAGGAAAAAATGTGGTGAAGGTGCGAGGGAATGGGAGAAGGGCTGTATATAAGCCAGCTTTTTGTATTATTATGCTGTGTTTTTATACATAAGACAGACATTCAGAGTACTGGGCGGACATCAGCAGCTATGTTGTAAACATTTGAACAAAAATAATAATACTGGATAATACTGAATAATACCAAAATTATGGATTTTAAACAAAAAATAAATATTACACCTTCAAAAGAAAGGAATGAAAATCAAACTTACATCACTTATCAGTTCAGTGCATCTTTTAGCCAATTCCATGTTTCTGTCCTCAGTAACAGGCTTGCAGAATACCTAAAAAGAAACCAAATACTGAACTGAAATAGTAGAGAGAAAAATAAAAACTTTCATATAAGTGATCAACTACCACTAACCTTTTCTTCTTCCTCATCTTCCTCCTCCTCACTCTCACCCACCCTGAAATGCTGGATAACAGGCACTCTCATTTTTATACACTAAAAGAAACACAATAAAACAACATTTAAAAAAAAGTCAAGAGCTGTAACAATCAGTTTCCATTCTTCCGTGTGCCTGGGACCTATGCTCTCCTTGCGTCCTGTGCTGAGCTTAACCTTCACAGAGCTTCTTCCTTATTTAGGCAACACTTGATGGTCTTTATCTGAACAATTCAGTATGAGTGAACTGAAAGACATTACAAATGGCCTTGCTAGCTATCACTCTCAGCAGAGCTAATGCTTTCCTACAGATAAAGTATAATTAAATGATCTAGTCAAGTCAACTATTTTTAAATGTCAAAGAATATATTTAATTAAAATACTACCATTCAGTAACTTCATAACAGAGGTGATTTAATGAAATTAACTGGCCTAAAAGGATGATGTGAATCCTAGGATTATGGGAAAACTGCCCATTTGTAATATTTTAGATAACATGGACTCCAAAGCCATGATCACATTACTTCTCTACTCCATCCAAATAAGGCATACAAAGGAAAGACTTGCTCTACTGGAAAACCAGAATAGTTTATTTCTGGACAATTGACATTTAATTTTAAGAATGAAAATATAGCATGGAACAAATGTAAATTTTGGTACACCTCCCAGAAAAATTTTGTTTCATATTTATCATGCACAAATTCATTAAATACTCAGTACAGTACAAAAAAGTAAAGTAAAACACATACATACATAAATACATAACCACTCCAGAAGAAAATATAATATACTTTTCTTATGGACATAAATATATATATATCGAGATATAGATATAGATATAATCACATACTGAAATGATTTGTAGCCTCAGAATCAACACTTTGTGTCAAGCCACTGAAACTGATGATGCATATGCCACTGGAAAATGGGAAAATATCCCATTTAAAATAAACCAGGATATATTATAAGGCTAATTGGATTGCTTTTTTTTAAATAGAACTTTCCCTCTGTAATTCTAACATATGCATTTTCCTCTTATTACAGATAAAATGAGGTCATGACTTTGGAGTGTTGCCAGACAATTCTAAGAACACTCCCATCCATGAAAAATCTCTAGGTTCCACATTCATATTCTGAATAAAGCCCACAGCTATATAGAAAACATAAGAGATGTAGGTATATAATAAACAGAAAAGAACAGAAAACATTTAAAGGACAAGGGACTTTAATAGCATTTATGAATCAGTAAAAATATTCATTATAGTCATTTGAAGTATTTATCGAAGGGGCAAATAACAACGGCTCTTAACCTATTGGAATCCTGAAAGAGAATTCCCCTAATGTATTTATAATATTCAAGGTTTCAAGTGTTTTCTTCCTGCTGTTTAGTAGATAAGTTCCAAATTGTCAAGAGCAAACAAACATTGTTGGTTCCCAAACTGAGACATGGAAGGTCCAATTTGCACAGGTATTTCATAGTTTAGTAAGGCTGCAAAGGATCTCAAGAGATCATCTGTTCCAACCAAGGAACAAACCTGCAAATTTGGTGTTAGCACCACACTCTAACCAACCAACCAACTAAACTATGCCATTTACAGAAACTGCATAACTTAGATCAATTCTGCCTTGGACTTTTTGAATGTTTGTACCTACCCTTAAAGTCCAAGAAATTCTGATTCAGAGGCTGTATCCCTAACTCCTGTACTCAATAGGTACTTATGGCCTTTTCCACCAAGGATTTGTCCAATCCCTTTTTGAATCTGGCTAAACTATCAGCTTCCACAACATGCGGTGGCAAGAGTTCCACAATTTAAGGACACGCTATGTGAAAAAGAACTTCCTTTTGTTAGTTTTAAATTTACCACCTATTAATTTCATTTTATGACCCCTAATTCTTGTATTGTGATAGATAATAAATAATAAATCTCCATTTACTTTCTCTTCACCATTTAGTCTTTTGTAAACTCTTATCAGGCCCCCCTTCAAGTGCCTAGTATGTAAACATTATGTTATTTAACATTCTTACATACCAGTGGTCAATGTTTTTTCCCAGTGGTCAGATGCAACAGTAATTACATCTTCATTGTGGTTTTCCATATCAAGATCATCCCCCTTTTTATCCTTTTTAGTATAATCACTAATTGATTTACTTGCATTCATGCATTCTAATTTTTGCAAGGCTACACTGTGCTCCCAAACAAACTTCTGTACACCACATATCAAGGGATCATGGAAGGGTTCCCAGAGCTCATTATATAAAGGAAATAGATGCCAAAGTTACATTTTCTAAGGGAGTAGTAGAGAAAATCAGTTTCCTTCAGGGTCATGGTCAATTACAAGTTTAACTTATTTCTAATAAGATATGATCATTAAGTGGAAAAATGGTAGATGTAAAAGAAAAATATCTACATGAATATCTCAGTAGCAAACAACAAACCAGAGATGTTAAATCTAATGTGAATGAAGCTGTAATTAAACCCTGCCACTGTTTACTCTATCACTAAACGGATCATAACAAATGCTTTAGTACAGCATATTTTAACCACAAAAAACCTGCACTCACCAAAACCTTCAGATGTGTGCCTATGCTAAAAAACAGAAAGGAAACACTGCACCATAAACAGTAGGTTCTAATAGACAGCCAGACTTCCTGGCAGAAAGTCATCAAAGCTTTAGTATAACTCAACAGCAATAGGATTTAAAAAAAAAACCCATCGTTTACCCTTGTACACCATTGATCTACATACACAAAATTTTTTTTTATATATTTGTAATCCTTCTGCCAGGCACCGGTTGACAGCAACAAGAGCTGGGTTCAATTTTGGGGTACTAAAGTTATGTTACCTTGGCTCAAGCCCCACCCAGACCACCTGGAAAACATTAAATAAATTACTAGACTGTGCCACATAAACAAAAAAAAACCCTCCTCACAAGCAGTATAAACACAAACATCCACATTTATTACCAAAAATAAAACCAAAGAAAACATTAAATATAATTTTAAAACACTATTAAATATAAAGCAAAGCCTATAGGTAGCACCCTCTTGGGGGAGGCTTCACCCATACCCAGGCAGTCTGGGACTTGGGGCTCTCCAATGGGCAGTTCCTGGGGCCTGCACCCCTATACTTGCCCTTCAGCAATGGGCTGGAGAGGAGGACACACACTGGAGAGTCCTACGAGCTGCTCTTTGGGCTCACTGCACCATGGGGAGCTACTCGAGAGTGTGGGTCCGTCTGCATTGCAAGGGGCTCCACTGCTCCTGGAGATGTGGTAGAGCACCAACCTCCACGTCTGCATGGTGACTTTGAGGAGCAGTTTTCATCAGCATACCACACCCCAAGATCCCTAGTCCCAATCCCAGTTTTGCTGGGCAGAAAACTGCAAAATAACTTAAGTAAATGTCAGGCCTATCTTGGCTTGGGCCTGAACTACAACTAGCGCCCAACCACACTGCTTGATTGGGACATAAACTACAAAAGGGACAAAAGGAGGCCCAGGCCTATCTCACTGGGCCTGGACTGGGCAACAAAAAGTCAGCCAGGCCTTTACTGCACTGAGGCCTGGATCAACAACAAGAAGTGCCAGGTCTCACCCTGGCTCAAACAATGCCAGGCTTTACCCTGGCCCAAATCTGCCAGCCAAACATGCAGCTGGGGTTCAGCCACACAGCTAGGATGAAACACAAGAGCTGTGAAACAGCAAAATGGGCCAGGCCTATGGCTATAGCCTGGACATCCAGTCTCAGCTATACCACTATGCTAAGACACTACAATTCCCAAACACATGGGCCAATAACTGCCAAGACTCATTCCTGGCCAGTTTGCTCCAGGGATTACTACCCCCATAGCATTAACCCATTTAAGAAAAAAGGCTGGGGGGGGAAGGAAGAGGAAACAAGAATCTCAGACTCCGAGACAGATTTTCTCTCCCTGTACCTGAGGTTTTCCTATCCTGTAGCTTTTGCTTGCCTCTCTAGTGAAAAGGTGGGGGAGACCCGCATAGGGAGCAGATTTTCTGACTCCCAGTTCAGCTGTGCAGCTCTCAGCAGGCCCAGGAGAAAGAGCTAGAAACCTTAGTTGAGTTGCTCTTAAATACCTCGTGTGACATCCTCCCAGCCTTGTCCAATTAGGGAGTGCCACAGTCCAGTCTCTGTCTTACTCATATGCCTGCAGGATCTTCTGATTCCTCTGGCCAATGAGGCCAGAGGGTTTTACATATTTTGCCCAGATACGGGACAATCTTGCCCACATAAAACACCTCAATAAAAGATAAGAAATGGAAGCACGGGTGCAAGTTACTTGAACAGACAGTGTCATGATGAATATGTAACCCCCCCACACACACAATATACAACTCAGTGAGTGTGGGGGTGTTACATATTCATCACAACACTGTTCTGTTCAAGTAACTTGTACCCATGCTTCCATTTCTTACCTTTATTGATTATAAACAATCAATACCTTTATTGATTGTAAAAAAACGTTATTTTTATTTTAGCAAGCTAATTATATGCCATGCTATTAAAAGTTGTTTGCAAACATCCAAAAACTAAGAACCATTATTTGTCTACTTGTCCATTCAATATTTCTTGCCAAAGATTTTTGTTTAACCGTCTGACACCAGCATTCTCTCTAACCTGTGTGGCACATGCGACTGAGCAGCCACGCACACCACACAGCTTAGAGAGAACGCTGTCTGGCACCTTACCAAAACACTGCTGCTCTACCAGATATAGCCTTTTAAAAAACATAGATAGGGATTATGTAGCAAAGAAAGTAAAATCGTGAGTTCTGTGCATCAGAAGAGCTGGGCTCAAATTAGTTTGCAAATAAAAATTAGTTTGGTGGTCTCATTTTTGCCCCTAATACACAGAGCAGTTTATCACATTTAGTCTCTCAGCTCCGTAACAGAGCCAAAGATAGCACCAATTTGACACGCTTGTTCATTAGATTCCCTAAGCTATCTCTAGCAATGTCCCCAAATATCTCTGGGCTGAAGGCACTGCAACACACGACACCGCTTCACAGAACAGTAACATTTATGCTTGCCCAAGAGAGGGCATCTGAAATTACATAACTCTCAGTTCAGTATCTCGCACAGGAGAGACCCCAGGACTTAAGTGGCAGGGGTGTTGCTGGTTAAAGATGAAAGTACTTCTTTTGAATT